TTTAGCTTTTCTATGGGACTTTTTTGTTCTGTTTTTCTTTTTAATGCAGATTGCATTCTTCTAATAGAAACTTTTCTTTCAGAAATTTGTATTGACACAGTCCGTTTTAACTCTTGGTTTTAAAACAGGTTGTGGGGCAGTGGGAAAGGAAAGTAATTTTACAGAAGGAGCCTTCAGTAGACCAAAGCCGAACCAGGGAACCAGCTTCCCCGGTTCTCTGTGGTTGTAGCTATTAGAGGGCAGGCACCCTCCAGAGGAAAGTGTCTAAAGCTTGGGGAAGGGTTCCCTACTCCTTAGACAACCTTACCCATTCCCATTGCTTCAAATACTGTCTAGGAATGTATCAGTGGTTCACAAGAGTATATCTCCAGCCCTGACCTCATTTGTAAAATTAAAATTGTATCACCAACTCTACTCGATCTTTGGCTGTCACACAGGGATGTCCATCTTAACATGTCCAAAACCAAACTTTTGCCCTCCTGTCCTAACCCCATCCTGCCCCTCCTTCGGGGCTCTACATCTCAGTAACTCTAGTACCCAAGCCAAAGAAACCCAAGGTCGTATTTAGCGTCTTCCTCTTCCTTATCCTTTTCCCCTAACTTGTTAAATCCATCAAAAAGTCAGTTCAGTTTTAATCTCCATCCATTTCTTTTTCTCCTTTCCACAGTCCTTGTTCCTGCCTGTGTAAAGTCAGTCGCATCCTAACTGGCCTTCCCATCGCTACCCTTGCCCTCCCTAGTCCGTTATCCACATTGCAGCCAGAGTGATATTTTAACATCAGATATATCACTTTTCTGCTTGAAACAGTGGGTCCCCATTTGCGTTCAATAAAGACTCACATCTATGGGACACCTACAAGGTTCTGCCTGTGTATTCAGCCTGCTATGGAATCACTGGCCCTTGCTGGGCTATCTATACCCTTTCCATCCTGGTTTTATAGCATTTGCTTAAAAATACTAACCTCTCTCACCTTAGGGGTGTAACCCTCCTAGGGTGTGCTTCTCCCTCCCCATCACCTGGCTAACTCCTGCTCAGATCTTGGCTCGTGTTCCTTCCTTATCACCAAAACAACTAGAGATGGCAACGTGACAGTCGAAAGGTGGGAAAGGGAAAATGTTTCCAGTGTGCTTTAACAGACAAGTAAACTAATTGCATTATTTTCCGTCCTGGAAGGCAGTAGGAACAAGTGTGGGATACCGAAAAAAAGGGTAAAGACATGGGGGTTCTGTATGTTTGGTTTTTCATTTTCTCCATTTGGAAAATTGTATATACGAAAGGATTGGCAAAATCAAACCATTCGTCCAAAGAAAGAAAAAGCCAATACTAAAGAATGTGATAAAAATAAGAAATACGTAACAAATGTCATGGCATAACTTTATCACAGCCTGACTCCTAGATGACATGGAAATAGTGAACTCACACTGAAGAAAATATAGCTAAGAAGTTAGTGTAACTCTAGGGAAAACATTTGTCTCATGACACTAAAATAGGAATTCTGAGTAGAGTCTACGTCCTTCAAAGAAGTTTTTATTCTTGAGGATACAGTGTACATATGGCTTAAACTAAAATATTCCACATTAAATAAATGTCTTAATCAGATAGCTGTGTTATCAAAAAGGATAAAGAATACTTAAATATTTCACTCATATCAAAGAATCTAAACACCACTGTAAATGCATTTACATTTTTATTTTTCTCTAGGGTTATTTTAAGATTGCTATTTTAGCACACCCTCGGGAAATGTATAGTTGCTATAAGACTGTGGATGACCTGGTGTCGTACGAGCAGATATTTTTCAGGGTCAGTTAAATATTGTAAAAATGTTACCCTGAAATTATCTCAAGAAATAAATTATCTCAGAAAAGAGCACTGGCTATGGAAAGAGTATTTTCCAGAAGGATTCAAAATCATCAGTAGCATTGCTGGTGCAGAATTCAAAGAGCTCATAAGGTATATGGCGGAGAGAGAGAGAGAGAGTGAGTGTGTGTGTGTCTGTGTGTGTGTGAGAGAGAGAGTATGTCTGTATATCTTTTCAGACAGATAATCTTGTGATACCTTTTATTTTCTAGGCTGCTTTAGTAATTTTCAAATATCTCGCGCACTCTGTTTTGTGAAGAAATTTTTTGACTTCACGTATTTAGCAAACTGATTATACCCATTACGCTTAAAGAAGCTTTACAGAGTGGAGGCCTTCACCCTCTTTTTTCAGTTTTCTGGACAGTGACTATGCCGGCTCTGTTGGTTGCATCTCATTCATTCCTGCAACAAGTATTTGCCGAGGACCTGCTCCGTGCTGGACGCTCAGCGGTCACCATCCATTTCCGAAAATTAAATATTGGCTTCTTGGTTTTTTTCTAGGAAGATAATTCTTTAAGGAACAAGAAGAGTTCTAAGGGAAAAGGAACCAAACATGCTTTAAGGAAAAGCATCAGCCCACAGACACCTATGTTTAATTTTTTACACTTACCCATTGCAAATTATAAAGAACATTTAAATATTTCACCCAAATCGAAGATGCTAAATGCAAGTGCAAATGCATTTCCTTTCCAAATTTAAGTCATAGTCCCTGGTGTCTTCCTTTAGGATTAGGCCTCACTTGTAAGCTTAATATTTTAGCAAGAAAATGTTTAGTTGTTTTAAGACTAATTGTGGATGCCCTGGTGTCACATGTCACTTTTCTCAGAGATCCCAAAAGGCTCTGTGATTTTTTTTTTAGAACAACAACAACAACAAAAAAGAATAAAAAGGAGAGAGTAATCTTGACTCTTAAAGAACTGCCAGCATATATAATTTATGAAAGTGTTGTATTTAAGAGTTTGTGTAAGATGTGATTCTTTACTGGCTGGTAATTTTTTAATGTCAGGCATTGAATATAAACTAAAATGAACTAAACACGATTATTTGCTAGTTAAATATTTAATCCTCAGTTTTCTCTTGTCAATAAACTTCTTTGTCTTTCTTTTCTCTTTCTTTCTCCATTTTTTTCTCTTTCTTTCTTTCTTTTTTTTTAGGACCTGGGGATACCGAAGGTGGGTCATATGAAGCGAATTCTCCAGGGAATTAAAGAGCTTGGAAGGAGTACTCCCCAGTCTGAGGTGTAATCAAATTGGTGCTATTCCTTGGAAGGGAAGTAATCGCTACTTAATACAAAGTTCTCGGAAGCACTTTGGCTGTTCTTGCAGTTTTCTGCCTAGATGAGTAAGCACCGCTGAGGCACCTCTAGAGCTTGACATTTTGCCGTGGGTGAAAATTTTGATTTGCGGTATTTGAAAAAAAATTTTGTGCCAAAAAATACATTCCATGAAGCCATTTTCTTATTGTGCAAACCTGACGCGTTCAAGTATGCTCAGAGTAGTAAAAAGGTAGGAGGAATCTGAGACAGTTGCGTTGTCTAAGAGATCGAATTGTAGAATGTTTACTTTCCTTTAACGTGGCCAGATGGAACATTCTTACTGTGTAACCACGTAGCTATGTGGCTAAAAGTACTTAGATTTCATTATTGGAGGCATTGGTTTCCTCCTAAAATTATTGGCTAGAAGACTAAGATGTACATTAAGTTGTGATTTGAATTGGTATCACCTCAGATTCCTAACACTCAGTGGTCAAAGAATATGGTGAAAACCCCTCAAATACTACAAATGAATGCAAATCTTCATGCACGATGTTCCTGCCTGAATTGTCTTTCTGGTTTTTGCATGTCACATTTAATATGGTAATACTTAGCTTTAATGTCAGTTTTAATGGAATTTAATTTATTACTACCTAAGTACCTTTGTGTTGGTTAAAGGCACTTTTCTGTTCTTTGATGTGGAATTTTGCATCAATATTCTATATCTAAGAATTTGTAAACATGTGTCTGTGCCCTAATCAACAAATGATTTACATATTATGCAAGCTAATTTTATATCAACAGATCATAAACAGTAGGTGTGCACATTAAGAAAATTCTCTGGATATTTTCATAAAATTATATGCTCTGTTGCCTAACAAAAATTATTGTAGCTCTCCAAACCAAAATTCCCACATTTCGTTTTTATTTTCATTTCAGTTTAATAATTCTTTAATATCTGTTTGCATTTATAATACAGTAGACTGTTAACATCCAGAAATTTCTCCAAGGTCTCAACTGGGATTTGCATACTGATTGGTCCCCAAGACTCACCCACTTAGAAAAGTGACTCCTGATACAAACTTCTCAACAAGAGGTTTTAATTTTTTCTTAAGGGCTTTCCATTATTATTATCTCACTTAATTCTTGTGTCTTATCAGGGAGATATTATTTTCCTTTTGCTAAACCACTACATTTCAGTGTAGCTCATTAGAACTTAACATTACAATGATCAAAATCTTTGAAAGCCAAAGGCATACATATCAAAAAGTCACAAAAATATCCTTCAATAAACTTTCTTTAGACATTCTATGCCAAAAAACTAATTATAACGTTTAAAAATCTTCTATAGAAGTAAAGTAAACCGGATACTGACCCAGTGGTGACAATTTCCATAATGTAGCCTTCTAGGTAGGTGCTCAATAGATACACATACGCACGTATATACCTGTACGCATATATGTGTATATACACTTCTGTGTACATTCACACTTGCAAACCTGTAATCTGACATATACTCTCACTGATATTTTCCAGACATTTATTTACCAAAGGCTTAAAGAGAAATATTGATGGGAAAACATTTAAAACGAACTATTGTCAGACATAGAATTTAATTATATCAAAAGGGTTTAAATAGTTGACACTTTATTCTGATTTATAACTTGGCTATTTACTAGTAAAATCAGAAAATTGGGATCTCTTAGAAATAAATGAACTTGATGGGTTCCTGACCAAGTGTGTCTGACCATATATTTTACCTGTCTAAATTGTGAATAAATGAAAATTTTCCAAAGGGAATTATATCAAGGAGTTTAAAAGAGCAAAAGGCTACTCCCGTAATAATTTTAATGTTATCCACACCTATGGAATCAAAGGTATTTCTTCTCCAGTCCCTTTTTAGCCCCCGCCCCCACCACCGCAAAATGTCCTGCGCTTTCAGGCACTTCCCTATTGAAATCAAATAGGGGGCACCAGGAGCTCAGAACTCTGTTGAGATCACCAACACCTGACCAGCGCTACCAAAAAACAGGAAAGGTGGAGGCAAGGAACCCTAGGAAAGAATGAATTAATAAGAAATCTTTATTGATTTTCACGCCCCAAAATACCCCTTTGCCAATAGGAAAGATTCTCAAGTTATCACATGTTTCAGAATTTAAGAGTGAGATATAAATGATAGAATTTTTAAATTTGATGTTGATTTTTCACTCCTAAGTAACCTCTCATATATATGCTGAACCTCAGTTAAGGGGATCCTTAGCTAAGATTTTCCTGCAAAATGGCTTTTGGATGAGGAAAATTCTTTAAAATCACAATTTTGAGGTATTTTTTGGTTAAATGAAAGCATCTTTCCCTGTAGCTTTGTCTGTGAATGGCTCTGTAGGACCCACATGACCTCACTCACACCTGTTTGCCAGGACGGTACCCTCAGAGCCTGGTAGGCCACCGTCAGCCTCACGGAGGAGCCAGCTCCTTACACTGGATGGGACTACCACAAAAGTGAGAGGGGCTTCCCCGTGGGACCGGATTGCAGCTCTGGGGAGCGCAGGTGGGGCCTCTGTGCCTTGATCCACATGTAAGCCGAGGTGAGAAGCTCAGCCCGGTCCTGCTAGCCAGCTGTAATTGCCACCTTTTCTCCCCAGTAGACTCTTCCACACGTGGATCATTCGGGAGGGCTGGAGGGGAGTCACAGCCAAATTCCACCTCCTTTCATTTTTCCTTCTCTGCTCATTCTCCTGAGGAAGAACTTGCTTTTCAAGAGAGAGGGGAACAGGGTCAGGCCTAAATAAAATTTTGGCATGCTCAGTTTTTCTCTTCTGTGTCTTTCCACCTCACTTTCTGAGTTTCTTTCTCACTTCTGGCTTCCCATTTTTCCACCTGCCCAAGACATTGATGATTGCTCAAATTCTCACTGCCAGGTACCATCCTTTCCTCATCCACTGTCCCACTAGAAAATGACTCCTTTTCTGTCTCCTCACCTTAGCCCCCTTTGTGGGTCATCTCGCCAAGTATTAGGAAGAAAACAATCTAAATAAACTTAAGTTTACAGTTTGCAC